CCATCCAAAAATAAATTGGCCTAAATTGGTGCTTAATGTACTTATCATCCATGGAGAATAGTATCAATAGACTTCATTATCGGTGGATATAGGCTCGGCCTGATTCCGTGATCTGCAACCTCCAAAATCGAAAGAAAATGGCATTTCGGAAAAATTGCCCGAAATCTGTGATGGTACCCCTTTGGAATCTGCCAAAAATGGGACCGGAATAAATTCGCCCAAATCGGAACTTAATGGACTTAATCATCGTTGAAGAATTGCCTCAGGCCGAATCCATGATCTGTAGCCTTCAAAATCCAAAGAAAATGGCCTTTCGTCGCCAATAAAATTACGAACATGGCATCCGAAAACAAATTGGCCCAAATCGATGCTAAATGGAATTATGATCAGTGGAGAATAGTATAAATAGACTTCATTATCGATTGATATAGGCTCGGCCTGATTCCGTGATCTGCAGCCTCCAGAATAGAAAGAAATGGCATTTCGGAAAAATTGCCCGAAATCTATGATGGTACCCCTTTGGAATCTGCCAAAAATGGGCCCGGAATAAATTCGCCCAAATCGGCACTTAATAGACTTAATCATCGTTGAAGAATAGCCTCATGCCGAATCTGCGATCTATAGCCTTCAAAATCCAAAGATAATGGCCTTTCGTCGCCAAAAAAATTATGAAAATGCCATCCGAAAATAAATTGGCCCAAATCGATGCTTATTGGACTTATCATCCATGGAGAATAGTATCAATAGACTTCATTATCGGTGGATATAGGCTCGGAGGGATTCTGTGATCTACAGCCTCCATAATAGAAAGAAAATGGCATTTCGTAAAAATTGCCCGAAATCTGAGATGGTACCCCTTTGGAATCTGCCAAAAATGGGCCCGGAATATATTCGCCCAAATCGGCACTTAATGGACTTAATCATCGTTGAAGAATTGCCTCAGGCCGAATCCGCGATCCGTAGCCTTCTAAATCCAAAGAAAATGGCATTTCGTCGTCAAAAAAATTACGAAAATGCCATCCAAAAATAAATTGGCCTAAATTAGTGCTTAATGGACTTATCATCCGTGGAGAATAGTATCAATAGACTTCATTATCGGTGGATATAGGCTCGGCCTGATTCCGTGATCTGCAGTGTCCAGAATCGAAAGAAAATGGCATTTCGGAAAAATTGCCCGAAATCTGTGATGGTACCCCTTTGGAATCTGCCAAAAATGGGCCCATAATATATTCGCCCAAATCGGCACTTAATGGACTTAATCATCGTTGAAGAATTGCCTCAGGCCGAATCCGCGATCTGTAGCCTTCAAAATATAAAGAAAATGGCCTTTCGTCGCCAAAAAAATTACGAAAATGCCATCCAAAAATAAATTGGCCGGAATTGGTGCTTAATGGACTTATCATCCGTGGAGAATAGTATCAATAGACTTCATTATCGGTGGATATAGGCTCGGCCTGATTCCGTGATCTGCAGTCTCCAGAATAGAAAGAAAATGGCATTTCGGAAAAATTGCCCGAAATCTGTGATGGTACCCCTTTGGAATCTGCCAAAAATGGGCCCGGAATATATTCGCCCAAATCGGCACTTAATGGACTTAATCATCGTTGAAGAATTGCCTGAGGCCGAATCCGCGATCTGTAGCCTTCAAAATCCAAAGAAAATGGCCTTTCGTCGCCAATAAAATTACGAAAATGGCATCCGAAAATAAATTGGCCCAAATCGATGCTTAATGCAATTATCATAAGTGGAGAATAGTATAAATAGACTTCATTATCGGTTGATATAGGCTCGGCCTGATTCCGTGATCTGCAGCCTCCAGAATCGAAAGAAAATGGCATTTCGGAAAAATTGCCCGAAATCTGTGATGGTACCCCTTAGTAATCTGCCAAAAATGGGCCCGGAATAAATTCACCCAAATCGGCACTTAATGGACTTAATCATCATTGAAGAATAGCCTCATGCCGAATCTGTGATCTATAGCCTTCAAAATCCAAAGTTAATGGCCTTTCGTCGCCAAAAAAATTATGAAAATGCCATCCGAAAATAAATTGGCCCAAATCGATGCTTAATGGACTTATCATCCATGGAGAATAGTATCAATAGACTTCATTATCGGTGGATATAGGCTCGGCCTGATTCCGTGATCTACAGCCTCCAGAATAGAAAGAAAATGGCATTTCGTAAAAATTGCCCGAAATCTGTGATGGTACCCCTTTGGAATCTGCCAAAAATGGGCCCGGAATATATTCGCCCAAATCGGCACTTAATGGACTTAATCATCGTTGAAGAATTGCCTCAGGCCGAATCCGAGATCTGTAGCCTTCAAAATCCAAAGAAAATGGCCTTTCGTCGCCAATAAAATTACGAAAATGGCATCCGAAAATAAATTGGCCCAAATCGATGCTTAATGCAATTATCATAAGTGGAGAATAGTATAAACAGACTTCATTATCGGTTGATATAGGCTCGGCCTGATTCCGTGATCTGCAGCCTCCAGAATCGAAAGAAAATGGCATTTCGGAAAAATTGCCCGAAATCTGTGATGGTACCCCTTTGTAATCTGCCAAAAATGGGCCCGGAATAAATTCACCCAAATCGGCACTTAATGGACTTAATCATCATTGAAGAATAGCCTCATGCCGAATCTGTGATCTATAGCCTTCAAAATCCAAAGTTAATTGCCTTTCGTCGCCAAAAAAATTATGAAAATGCCATCCGAAAATAAATTGGCCCAAATCGATGCTTAATGGACTTATCATCCATGGAGAATAGTATCAATAGACTTCATTATCGGTGGATATAGGCTCGGCCTGATTCCGTGATCTACAGCCTCCAGAATAGAAAGAAAATGGCATTTCGTAAAAATTGCCCGAAATCTGTGATGGTACCCCTTTGGAATCTGCCAAAAATGGGCCCGGAATATATTCGCCCAAATCGGCACTTAATAGACTTAATCATCGTTGAAGAATTGCCTCAGGCCGAATCCGAGATCTGTAGCCTTCAAAATCCAAAGAAAATGGCCTTTCGTCGCCAAAAAAATAACGAAAATGCCATCCAAAAATAAATTGGCCTAAATTGGTGCTTAATGGACTTATCATCCGTGGAGAATAGTATCAATAGACTTTATTATCGGTGGATATAGGCTCGGCCTGATTCCGTGATATGCAGCCTCCAGAATCGAAAGAAAATGGCATTTCGGAAAAATTGCCCAAAATCTGTGATGGTACCCCTTTCGAATCTGCCAAAAATGGGTCCGGAATAAATTCTCCCAAATCGGCACTTAATGGACTTAATCATCGTTGAAGAATAGCCTCATGCCGAATCTGCGATCTATAGCCTTCAAAATCCAAAGATAATGGCCTTTCGTGGCCAAAAAAATTATGAAAATGTCATCCGAAAATAAATTGGCCCAAAACGATGCTTAATGGACTTATCATCCATGGAGAATAGTATCAATAGACTTAATTATCGGTGGATATAGGCTCGGCCTGATTCCGTGATCTATAGCCTCCAGAATAGAAAGAAAATGGCATTTCGTAAAAATTGCCCGAAATCTGTGATGGTGCCCCTTTTGAATCTGCCAAAAATGGGCCCAGAATATATTCGCCCAAATCGGCACGTAATGGACTTAATCATCGTTGAAGAATTGCCTCAGGCGGAATCCGCGATCTGTAGCCTTCAAAATCCAAAGAAAATGGCCTTTCGTCGCCAAAAAAATTACGAAAATGCCATCCAAAAATAAATTGGCCTAAATTGGTGCTTAATGGACTTATCATCCGTGGAGAATAGTATCAATAGACTTCATTATCGGTGGATATAGGCTCGACCTGATTCCGTGATCTGCAGTCTCCAGAATCGAAAGAAAATGGCATTACGGAAAAATTGCCCGAAATCTGTGATGGTACCCCTTTGGAATCTGCCAAAAATGAGCCCGGAATAAATTCGCCCAAATCGGCACTTAATGGACTTAATCATCATTGAAGAATAGCCTCAGGCCGAATCCGCGATCTGTAGCCTTCAAAATCCAAAGAAAATGGCCTTTCCTCACCAAAAAAAAATACGAAAATGTCATCCCAAAATAAATTGGCCCAAATCGGTGCTTAATGGACTTATCATCCGTGGAGAATAGTATCAATAGACTTCCTTATCGGTGGATATAGGCTCGGCCTGATTCCGTGATCTGCAACCTCCAGAATCGAAAGAAAATGGCATTTCGGAAAAATTGCCCGAAATCTGTGATGGTACCCCTTTGGAATCTGCCAAAAATGGGCCCGGAATAAATTCGCCCAAATCGGCACTTAATGGACTTAATCATCGTTGAAGAATTGCCTCAGGCCGAATCCGCGATCTGTAGCCTTCAAAATCCAAAGAAAATGGCCTTTCCTCACCAAAAAAATACGAAAATGCCATCCCAAAATAAATTGGCCCAAATCGGTGCTTAATGGACTTATCATCCGTGGAGAATAGTATCAATAGACTTCCTTATCGGTGGATATAAGCTCGGCCTGATTCCGTGATCTGCAGCCTCCAGAATCGAAAGAAAATGGCATTTCGGAAAAATTGCCCGAAATCTGTGATGGTACCCCTTTGGAATCTGCCAAAAATGGGCCCGGAATATATTCGCCCAAATCGGCACTTAATGGACTTAATCATCATTGAAGAATTGCCTGAGGCCGAATCCGCGATCTGTAGCCTTTAAAATCCAAAGAAAATGGCCTTTCGTCGCCAATAAAATTACGAAAATGGCATCCGAAAATAAATTGGTCCAAATCCATGCTTAATGGAATTATCATCAGTGGAGAATAGTATCAATAGACTTCACTATCGGTGGATATAGGCTCGGCCTGATTCCGTGATCTTGCAACCTTTGGAATCTGCCAAAAATGAGCCCAGAATATAGTAGAGAGGCATATTCTACCTATAACCCTTTCTAAAATCAAGTATGATGTTATTGGCCTTGGGCTCAAAGTGGGCAGCCAAGCAAATCAGCCCATTAGGCATTTCGTTGTACCGCCGTCGGAGATATACCATCGGCGCAGGGGAGCAGAAACTGCCCGCCGCCGCGGAACTCAGATTACGATTATGAACTTCGGGAAAAAGGAGGCGCCATAACAAAATAATTTTCTTTTAAAGTCCGTGCTTCATCCCTCTCACATTCAGCGGCCGTTCTGTGAATCAAGTCCCAAATCTTCTTTTCTTCTTCCGCCTCAGATTCGAATCTCGATTTGTTCCCCCCGCGGAGGAGAATTCGAACCCATCTCGTTGGATCTCTGGCAAACTCGCAAAGTCGATCGCTTTTCATCGGGATCTTTCCTGGGCATTCAGTTCCTCGGTCTCCGTCGTCTTTGCTGTAGCTAGGATTTTCGAAGAATCAGCTGATGCTTTGTTTCTCTCTAGATTGGATTCTTCAGTAACCATGTCGAGCTTGAAGTTTGAGGGTTTCTGCTAGGGCTTCTTGCCCCGAATTTTGGGAGAATTCAGCTGCTTCCGGTTCCTCCAACTTCCGTTGCCTTTTAGGGTCCGAGAACACTTCAAACTTGGTCGCTGGAGTGTTTACGGTGATTAAGGTGAGCTATGTTACCGTTTCTTCTTGCAGATTCCCGAGATTCTCACTACTGTGTATTTTTTTATGAATCATTATGGTGTGCGTTTGGTTAAATGTGGTGAATAGGACTGAATTTTGGTGCTTTTCCGGATGGAACTTTGATTTTATGTCAGCTTTTGCTTGGTCTGTCTGAAGATTGTTAGGCGTTCAGATAGACTCCTTGAATCCACTACTTCTGCATGTTGATCCAATTCATTGCTTGCTTTCGTTGTTTCTTCCTGATGATTTCCCTGCAAAAGCAGTATACTTACCTAGTTTTGCTGTATCCTGGCAGGTGTTTGTTGGGCTCGCATTGTGACAAATTGGGCTCGTTTCGTAGTTGCTAACTGCCAAGTTTGAGGCTTGGTTTTGAAGAAATATGTATGGAGATTCTGATAGCAGTAAGTTAATTCATCTGCTGAGTCTCCATCGTACAATAGACTGGCAAAAGCTCATTTCGGAAACGCTAGTACATAGGATTTCACATATAGTAACAATAACAATTACTTCATTTGAGAGTTTGAATTTTACTTTTTTTCTTTTATTTGTTTGTTGACTGCAGGTACTGATGATGAACTTCCATCAGTTCCAAATAGATTCCAACCCGGGGTAAGGCCTGCTGGGAATGGAAGGTCTGCAATGCCTGGGTCTGCTCCGCTAGCTAGGATGCATGCTGATATGGAAGTTCAAATTCACGCTATTGAACAAGAAGCATATACCTCTGTTCTGCGGGCATTTAAAGCTCAATCAGATGCCATCACCTGGGTATCTATTCTGATTGCTTTGAAACCATTGTGGTCACTTGTATTTGTGAAACCTTAGAAAGCTTTTGTTGTCTTGTGTTTCTCTAAAGGAAAAGGAAAGCTTAATTACAGAACTCAGAAAAGAGTTGAGAGTATCAAATGAGGAGCATAGGGAACTTCTATCCAGGGTCAATGCCGATGATACCATCCGAAGGATGAGGTATAAATTTCATCATTCGATGTAATGAGTGTCATTTTTATTTTTGGAAAAGAAAACCTTATGCTCTGTTGATAATAGGGAATGGAGAAAGATGAGTGGAAGTCAACCAGGCGCACAAAGTACTGCCCAGCTTGGACACGATCATGTCCCTAGTCCATCGGTTTCTGGATCACGCAAGAAACAGAAATTGTCACAATCAGTTGGTTCGTTATCCATGGGTGGCCCTCCTGCGTTGCACCCACCTATACAAGCATCTGCATCGGCCGTAAGACGAGGTCCTCACCCTGCATCTAAGAGCAAGAAGCCCCAGCCTGTAAGTTGGTTTGTTTGTTTGGGCTCTAGTACCAGACTAAGACACTACCTTTGACATTATCATCACATATGGCGTATTCTTTTCAAAAGGACAATTATTGTACCAATTATTATACTTTCGTTATACTCCAATGAGTTATATTTAACAGTTAGCTTAATAATATTATTAGACGTCCTAAGAAGTTTGAAATTTTGTTCACAGGATAGTCTTATATTTTTTGGCATATCCTGCGAACGAAGTTTGAAATGTACAGTGCAAATATTATCTTTCATATGGTGCGCATGTTTATGTCACGCAGATTGTGTATCAACACCATTAAGACCTTGGTTGATAATGTTAAGCTAACTGTTCAATCTAACCTAACAGATTGTGCATGTTTGTCATTTCCCAAATAATGTGTTACATTTGACAATAAAGTCAAAGTTGTGTCAGTATTTGCCCTTCTGTATTTATAGTTAGGAAAGTTGGTTTGTAACTTGATGCAAGTGATTACTTTATAAGCACTTCCGCTCGTGTGTGCTTAGTGATGTGTGACTGGGTGATGGGAACTAACTAACGACCTGCTGCATTTGGAATGCAGTCTATGCAGTACCCATCTACAAGCTTAGGTTCTGGAAGGGGCCAAGTCGCTAATAGAGGACCTTCTGCTGCATTCCCGGCCAATGGGCCTGCAGAGGCTCCCAAGTTTAGTCCATTGATTGGAAGAAAAGTTTGGACTCGTTGGCCTGAAGACAATAGTTTCTATGAAGCTCTTATCACTGACTACAAACCAGAGGAGGTATGTCTTACTCTTTACCATGCAGTACTCTGCTAGATATGCTTTTTCGCTGCTAATATTCTTATTCACCAAATTGTTTCCTATTGACAGGGTACTCATGCTTTGGTATATGATATGTACACTCCTGATGAAACATGGGAATGGGTCAATCTCAAAGAGGTACAATTCTGTGGATTTCTAATGGAAGACTACTAAATTCGTACTGCTAATTATTCAGTTTCTTCATGAATTTGCCAAGCCGTAGATTCCACGATAATCTCTCCCCTAGATGGATTGTGTGCCTGCCATCCATCAACACAATCTTACAATCATCTATTCAAACGACCTCTCAATCCCCTTACTGAATTATGCACATTTCAGCCCTTTCTGCATCTTCTTATGTCTGTGCTTCTGGAATATTGACAGTGCTGCAAACTTTAATCCTGTGCATGTCTAATCATCAGATACCTCCTGAAGACATAAGGTGGGAAGGCGAGGATCCTTCCATCTTCCGCAAAGGTGGACGTCCTGGACCTGGACCGAACAAGAAATCCATACCGCGTGGTGGTGGTCCCCCTGGAAGAGGTAGAGGACCCACCACGAAGGGCCCTAAGAAGGATCATCTTCTGCCATTACAGAACGGCACTCGTAAAAAGGCTGTGGGCGATATCGAGATACTTCACACTGATACCCTAATAAAAGAGGTAATGAGGAAATGTTGCTGTGGTGGCTTTGTTCGGGTAATTTTTGTTGTCCGGTTTGTTACTAAATGGTCCCTATTTCCAAAAGGTGGAGAAGGTCTTTGGTTCCAATTTTCCTGACCCTATGGAGATCGAGAAAGCAAAGAAAGTGCTTAAAGTAAATGCTCTAGTCTAATCCTTCATTTCCTCCAGTTTAATATCTACCGCATTTCTGGCAGTGTTGTGAGATTTATGCGGTTCTTTTATATGCAGGATCATGAACAAGCTCTTGTGGATGCAATTGCAAGGCTTGAAGATGCTTCAGATGGTGAAAGTGGTAATATATGAATATATATTTATATATTGATAACCAAATGTTCATATTAGTAGAATGGAGTTCAAAATAAAGATGTGCAGTCTTCTTGTTGTATCATCTAAGTGTAAACTTTTTGGATGTTCAGATTTAACTTGTAATATTTATGCGTAAAAGTTCTTTTTAGACTTCAAAAAGATTGTTGATCTAGGATCATTTTGCCACACTTGAATCTTTGTTCATTTATCTTCCATTTGTATCTCATCCAAACAAAGATGGAAAAACAGTTGAACTGTTCAGCAAATGTTGATGGCTACATTGAGTTAGAAGATGAAACAATGCGATCTTTGTTCTCATTGTGTTTATTGAAAGCAGATGGGGGAAGAACACAGGTTTCCCGTGGGCAATCAATGGATCAAGAGCGATCGAGAAAACAGGTGTACAACCCTCTGGAAGGGAACAAAGAGGGTCAGGGAGGGTAGAGTGCTGGATCATATGATGATCAGTAGTGTACCATAACTTGTACAATAGAGTGCTACAATTCGATAGGAACTAATCAAATACATGTGGCTCTAGCTATTTAATTCCTTACAGTACTCAACAATGGAAGATGTAACCTTTGATTTGAATCCCCCTTGTAATTTTATGGTCCTTGCTACTTGGATACTCAATTCCTTGTGTAAATTGCTATGAAAGATTTGTACTTGTTAGTCCTGAAAGATTACTCCATTGTCCTGCTCTGTGTAATGGTACTGCAGATCAAAACTGTCTAGACTTTTCGGGACAAGGTATAATGAATGCAGGGTAGCAAAACTGTGCAATGACTGCTATAAATCATGATAAGACCACATTGATTTGATCACCGGAACTCGTTTGATTCAATTCAACAGGTCTCAGAGGTATCACAAACTGACCTATGTACTTGCATATGAACAATATAAACTGTCTGGGATACCAAGGTATACCGGTGATCAAACCGATATGATTTTATCACAGTTTATAGCAATTCTTAAATGGCTTTGCTATCGTACCTCCACTATACCTTATCGTTAGTCTCACGGGTTAAGCTTTGATGAGGTTCACAGATTTCTCCACGCCACACAAAGGAGCAAGAACATGGCGATGGAAATCGCAACCTGAAGCATCATTTACCACCATGATCGAACACACAGACTACTGCCACGTAGCATCATCTGTTGTTCACTTACAAAGAAGCCGCAAAAGTGAGGATGAGGTTGGCCATCTGAGCATCATAAGCAGGACCTTCCATTTGGAAATGGCTGGCCCCTTCAATGAGATGGGTTTCGACTCGGCCAGCTGCAGACTTCAACTTGTTCTGCAGCTGTTTAACGCTCGTGAACCCGTCCTGTGTTCCCATAATGAAGAGCTTTGGTTTCGTAGACTGTAGGATGGCCTTGTGATGCCTCCCAAATAGCACGGAGGCAAGCATTCCGAAAGGGTACCCTATGCTTACATAGCCGACAACTTCCTCGATCTGATCAACGGAAGACCCAGCAATTGGTGAACCTGTATGAAAAGAGTAATTATCTATTACGAATCGCAGGAACAGCTTCAAAGGATTCAAGAGACTAGGCAGTAAAGGATCAAAGACGCAAACGAAACTGTACAGAAGACTATGCAAAGATCCTGGCTTCCTACATGTTTATAAGTTAATCAATCGGTGATACATATTTTTTCATTAGCACTAGTTCAAGAAGAAACCAGCTTCTAGTTAGTTGTTTGTGCATAGGCACTCAATCAAACCCAAAAGAACATGTGCGCAGAAATTGACAAGGATAACTCCTTCAACCATACAAATTCAGCTTCTAGTTAGTTAATTGAGCATTGGCACTCAATCAAATCGAAAAGAACATATGGGCAGAAGGCTATCCTTCTAACTCTTATGTGTAAACCATCTAGTTCTTCATTGATTACAACCAGGAATTATTGAGTTAATAGGAAGCCATAGCTTCAACACCACAAGCAGAGTTTCTCAAACTAGTCCAGATCAAACGAACAGAATGCTTAACACAAAGCAGAGATTCAACACAAAAGGCTACACTATCAGCAGGCTGAGAACAGTAATTACTATGAATCTACAGCAAAATCCCAGCACCAATTTATCGCAGATCTAATCAATCAAGGATCATAGAATAATCAAAAGGGGCAATCCACGAACGACTATCCAAAACACTAAATCTTCATCCATCGGACGACCCTAAGTAAGGAAAACAGTAAGAGTGTAAGACAATGAAGGAAATGAAACTCACCTGCAGAGGAACCCACCAAGAGAATCCTTCGGGTGCCCAGATTCTCACAAACCCACTTGCAGACGGCGATCACATCCTTGATTTCAGCGAACCCAGTAAGGGAAGCCCGTCCCGTCGATCTCCCAGCTCCTCTCATATCGAAGGTCACAGCTTTATACCCTCTCTCGGCCAACCGAATTGCCATCCCTTTCAGTAGAGCTTGGCAGCCGCCCAAAACCGTGAATGGGTGCACGAGCACAATCACCAAGTCATCCCCGCCGCCGCCTGCTTTGGCTTCCGCTTCTTTTGGCTTGAAGAACCGGGCGTGGAGCTTGGCCGCTCCGTCGCTGGTCTCCACTGTGGTGGACTCGACTGTGTAGTTCGACATGACGGGAATTTTCGGAATGGAGGGAGAGAGTACTGATAATAAGTAGGGAGGGTATTAATTAACGGTGTGGTGGAATGGTTGAGCTGAAGAAGAAGAGGAGAGGATGGGGAGAGAATGGAAGGAAAGCAGGAAATGCCAACTTGCCAACGAGAGCATTTGGGTCAGATCACAAGCTGCCATATGACTTTTAGTTAAAACAATACCATTTTATGAAAATAAACTTGTTATTGAAGTGTTGGAGATCAAGCTAGTCTCTAAAATCACTAAAATGAGATATTTTATGTTGGATGAGTTTTGATAATAAGAAATTAAATTATAGAACTGATTCCCATAAAGAAATTATAGAACTGGTTGGTGCACTAAATAATAATCTTATATTATTGGTTTTTTTTTTTTTGAAAGATTATATTATTATATTATTAGTTCTCATAAAATTATATCTAAACGAATTTCGATAAAAACTTAAAACTATTGAACTGATTCACCATAGTAGTTTAATTGTACTTGGAAAATCATGTCAGCTTGATTTTACCAAAATGATTTTTGAAACATGGCTCTTATCATTCAGGTCATACCCAATAAATGACTCTTATAAGGTCATACCCAAGAAATGGCTAGGCTAATTCATAGTTGCTCCAAATGGAGCCTTACCAAGGAAGAAAGACCACTACTTTCTACAAGTTCTTCACCAACAAAATACAAAAACCCTCATCTTCTTTCTTCCTCTATTCATCCACTTTAGCCACCCATTTCCATCCTAAATGAAACCTTCCAAAAGTGAAAAGCCTACCCAAAAGATAATAAATAAAAAAACCCACCAAAAAAAAGAAGTAAAAAAAAACTTTGGAAATTCCCATGCTAATTTACATTTTACAACAAAAATCCAATCATAATTTTAAAAAAAAAATCATCTATCTCCTTGCCCTCTTCCTAGCCCTCCCTCCACTTCCACCCCCTTCACCATCATGATCTCTCCCTCTCTTCCCTCCCTCCGCCGCGGCCGGAGTACCACCGCCGCCGCTCTTCCCGCCTCTTCCGCCACCTCTCCTCCCTTTCCCGCCCTCCTCCCTCCCTCCTCTGCCCCTGGAACTCCTCGTGATGGGCGGCCGCTCCCTGGTAACATCTCTAGTACCACCCCGACCACCTCGACTCCCCGCCTTACCATTACTACCCTTCTCCTTCCCAGCATTATTAACTTCCCTCCTCTTCTCCTTCTCCTCCCCCACCTCCTCCTCCTCTTCCGACGAAGAGGATGACGATGACGACTCCTCGTCGCCACCGCCCTCATCGTCATCTTTCTCCTCCGTCGCGTCGCTGTTCTGCTTCATCCTCTTCAGGAAGCTAGCCGCGCCTTGCCTCTTCCTCACGCTAGTAGTGCTATTATTCTCGTCTTTGTTATTATTGTTGCTCCTCTCCGCTTTCGAATCTGCGGCATCGTGAGAGCTCAGCTCGTTGCCGCCGTACTTGTGTTTATTACTATTAACCTCTCCATTCTTGCTGGCCCCGGTTCTAACATTCCTCCGTCCTTTCGTCGATGCCGTTGTCGCAGCAGCAGGCCTCTCCTTGGTCGTCTCCTTCGTAGTAGTCGGAGACTTCTTAATTGGCTTCTCTTCCTCAACAGCTTTAGGCGCCACGGAGGCCTCAGCCTTTTTCGGATTCGTCTTCGGCTTAACTTCCTCTGCTTCTTTCTGTTTCTGCTTATTGGAAGTAGTAGTCACCACTTTCTTCGAAGCAGGCTTCTCCTTCTCCGATGTTCCTCCCTTCAGGGAGGAGCTCCGCTTGTTCCCGCAGGAGACCAGAGTGGAGGTAGACTTCTCGGGCTTGGCCTCGGGCTTCTCGGGTTGTTTTTGCCGCTTCTGAGCTGGAGCTGCGTCAGTAGTAGTACTAGTAGTCTTTAAGTTTTTGGTCGTGGTTGCAGAGGGGGCAGGAGGCTGCGGCGGCGGCGGAGCAGGTTTGGATTGGGATTGAGATTTAGAAGGAGGCGGAGGAGCAGGTTTACGCAGCTTGTCCTTCATGTTCTTGAGGACGAGACCTCGTAGCTCCCGGGCGGCGTGATTCTCCGGCGAGGTCTCCCGGAAGAAGAGGATGGCGTTGTTGAAGAGAAGGAGGAGGTCTCTGTAGAACTTGGGGATGCAGCTGAGGTACACTCCTTTGTCGAGGCGGAGCTGGACCGTCCGGAGGTCGATGTGCTGCCGGATCAAGCTCTTGTACCTCTCCGATTCCTGCAGCCGGAGAACACCACAAATGAGTAGTCTGAAAACGGCAAAGGAGGGAAAAGCCCCACCACCAATCATCGGGTATATTAGCCCAAATGATATATGGCTTTAGGAAGGAGACAAAAGAAGGCCCTATAAGAAGTCTTTCGGGCCTGCCTTGATAAAAAAGCCTTTTTATGTTGAAGACAGGATGGGCAGTCGCGGTCAAGCCGTTGGCGAATGTTCACCGTTGGATTGGAAGATCTAAACCAAAGAAGCGCGGGTAAAAAAGAACTACGAAAGCGGGATATCAACGATACAAACAAGAATTCTACAACATCCAAAAAAAAAGCAATAAATTAAAATTTTAAATCAAAGGTCAACAAACTATGCGTGTTGGACTGTGCGATTTTACACAGGTTTCCCATAAAAAAAAGCACTGGGATTTTAGCCCCGAAAGAAAGGATAAGATGTGCACTTATTCGATCTAAGCTTCCTTCATAACCGGGCTTTATGGAGAAAATAACTCATTTTTAAGAAGGAAAAAAAATAACATGAGGCGAATGAGTTGAGCCGATTACTATTTACTAGAGAAGCACCTCAGGCTGACCCGTTAATTCCTCGTAGTAAAAAGATAGTCGGAAACATGTACTTATGTCGTTTGACCGAACACATTAAATTGTAAGATATGTGGAATGTGAACGAGTAGCATGACAGTTTACTTTCATGCCCTTTGTCCACAACTATCGTAAATGCAAATCGAACGAATGACTGGGATGCATACGCAATGTAAGATACACCTACCACATCAACATGATAGGAGCTTGGATTCAGCTCAATCAAGTAATTAGGCATTGTCGTGCATTGTGAGCAACACTAATTATTATCATTTCATTAATTAATCATATTATTTTCGCAAAAACCTTAAAGGTGGGCCCGCCAAAAAACGAAGGGCCAAACGCAGCCCATATCTGCCGTATGATCCTACGTGGATCCGCATCAAGCGTCGCACCCTTCACCATATAAAACTCGTGCATAGCCCCACCCCCATGCGATGAACCGTAGTAGAGAGTAGAGACTAAAGAGTAACCTTTTCCCCCGCCAAAATTACCGCTACTTTCCTTTTTTTACATCTCCCAGTGAAAACTATTTTGAAAAAGGCCGGGTAACGTGGCTAGTGGTGATTGATCCAAGGCCGGCCATTTTGTTGGCGATTTGCAAGATCAGGAAATTCTTCGGTTTTTCAAATTAAGAAAGGAAAAATTAAGCAGGGTGGAGAGAGGAAAAATTACCTGGCTCCGGAGCCGTCGTTCAAAAACAGAACCGAGCCTATGGGACCGGATGATCTCGAGGATTCTAACCAACGGTTCGGATTTCACAGCGGCGACCCGCTTCCTGGCGGGAGATACCTCGTCGCCACCCTCGGGCTCTTCGCCGCTGCTGGTCACGGCGGCGACTCCAGCGCCTCCGCCGCCATCGCCATTTACTCCGCCCCTACGACGCCGTTTCTTCTTCCTCAGCGTCAGGCTCACAGAGCTCTGCACGTCACTGCTCTGTTTCTCCTTCTCTTTCTCCTCCCGCTTCGACTCCCCCACCGACTCGCCCAATTCGTTCGACTCGCCGACGAGCGGAGTCTGACTCGGTCTTGGCTCCGTCTCGCTGGGCGATTTCTCCTCAGGATTCCCTCCGCCTCCTTCCGATTTGACGTCGTAGGAGCAAATCCGCTCCTCAGCGGACGGGTAGGAGTGGACCGGATCCGATTCGGACTTGGTTGCCGGTTCGGGTTTCGTGTCCCCTTCTCCCTCCTCTTCCTCCTCGCTCCGCTCCTTCGCGGCCGCGTTCACGGCCTTCTGTTGCTGACTCGTGGAATTAGACTCGTTGAACGACCGATCCTCCCCGGAATCGTAGCAGCCGCCGGCGGATTTCGCGGCCGACGTTGGCCGACCTTCTTCCTTCCCTAGATCTGCCTCCTCCTTCGCGCCTCCCACCCTCTCCTCCTCCAATCGCTTCACCTTCAATTCCAGAGACCTGGAAAACAACGAAAGACCGTTAGGAACCGCTCAGATCTTAATCGGATCTCCACGAAACAGATTTCTAATTTTTTCATTTATTATTAATTACTCGATCGAGACGTCCCGCCGCTGGACCTCACGTCGCAGCTCCTCGACGCGGAGCCGCCGGAGCTCGTCGACCATAGGGACCAAACTGGTCGCCGCCGCGGCCGGCGGCGGCTCCTCCCTCCTCGGAGGCATGAACCGTCGCCGGAGGTCATTGAACTTGTCCCTGCACTGCTGCGAAGTGAGGGAGGAGAGGCTGGAAGTCCGGTTTTGGACTTCTACGGCTACGGAGTCCCAGCTCTTTGTGCCGTGGCGGTTCACGGCGCAGGCCAGCAGCAGCTCTTCCAATGTCCCCCAAGAAGATATCGGGGTTGTTGGTGCGTCGCGCTCCTTAGCCATGGCGTTGGTTCCTTAATAACTCCATTTTTTTCTCCTTCTTACAATTTCATTTTTGTAGTCTTTTTCGGTTCTGCGATTTAAGGGGAATTAGGGTTTTTGGCCCGATTGGGGAAATTTGGATTGGAGAAACGAGCAGCTCGGCGTTTATATTCTTTTCGATGGTGGTGGACGACGAAGGGTCTTTTTTGCTTGTTAATTTATCGCTTTTATTTTTCATTTTTATATAGAGAGAGGCGCCCAGGGACGACGGAAGGAGGCGATGGCGATTGAGTGTTGGATGTGGCTCTTGTTGCGTTTCGGCCGATTCGGATTGGGATTGGGAGTAGGGGTTTCTTATAATATGGAACTGGGCCTACATTTATGGGCTTTTCTTACGATAGGATAGGCTTTCAAGCTTTATGGGCTCTGTGGATATGGTGTTATTGATGTGTAGTTGGATGTACATGGGCTGGGCCTGGGCTTCATTTAACAGTGCACATTTAATATTCTGGTCCAGTGCCAATGTACTTTCGATCCAGGCTATTGTAGTAGTCCAATATTCTATTTCTCTTGAGCCATGGAAATGAGATCCTGTTAGCATATTCCTGAACTGAAACCTAAGTTTCGTAAACAGCAGGGCCCACTGGATACGTTGGGCCAAACAGATTCTATGAACCAGAGAGTGCGTCCTTGCAATAGCCCATGGGGGGAAAAGCTTATTTGAATTCCCACTACGCTGGTTTCCTTTGTGAGTTCGATAATAACGAGTTATATGTACTTTGCTTTGTGGTTTTATAGTTGTCAGCAACTCAGCATACCGTGCTCGATCTGTAGCAGAATATATATATAACATTAATTTTCTTCCATCTCTTTCAACAACTCGAGATATTGACTATAATTTTCATTTCGGTGTGATGAAGCTTAATTGTGATGCTACCGTCTTTAGAGCTGGAAGGTGTGTTGTCCTCACATCATATTAGTGGAAAGTCTGGGAGAAAATACAATTAAATGGACGATTTGTGGAAGAATGTGTTGAAGAGAGGGCGATATATCAGGAGCGAGGCAGAATTTCTAGACTGGGGGCAAAAATAAATTAAAAATGTAACCAATGTGGATCAAACCTGTGTGCTTTAAGACACAAGTTAAACTTGGTTACCATTAGACCACATAACTATTACATGACATAAATTACAGAACAAGTTCTAGCTATAAAATTTGTACTAAATATCCTTAAGGAGGGCCGGGACCTATCTCGGGGAGGGGGCACCTTAGCTACAATGTAGCTCCGCCCCTGTGACATATAATAAATTTTTACTTTTTCCGCATCCGGCATTTCAAAAGAATAGTTCCATTGCCAGCTATCTAGTTTAAAGTAGTGGTATTGGTAAGCAACTCGTTAAAGTTTTTAAGTTCTAAAACAATGTGACCGCCAACACTTACTAAAACCCGAGTCGGTTTCTCACCATCGTCAATATAAACAGTTGGATTTAATTTGTGAGGCATGCAGTCTATGAGTTAGTTTGATTTCGTTTAAAAGGACATGCTAGTGAATGGTATAAGATTCATTCTCTTGAAACTTTACTAATAGAATGAATTATTGTGATCAGTTAGTTATTAACAGTATTGCATTTTAAATATCTAATTTTAGTTTGTAGTCACACACAACAAAGAGAAAATTTATACACGAAACATCTGAGTACATAGGTTATCGTCATTTGTAGAAACAGACTTTTATGTTGTTAAAATTTCAAGGAAAACAAATCAGATCGTACATTATCGTCAGATCAGTCACATGACTAAACAACACAAATCAACAATTTAACCGAGTTTCACCTAGGCTCTAGATTTAGCCACCGCTACAAGTCTACAACTTTTCCATGGGTTATATTACCGGCAGATCCTATTAGTAAAAACCATTTTTACCTCGACGATTCGTCCATTCTTTCTTCTGCTTTTTTCATCGAAGGGGGGCTGGTTCATCAAGTAACCAGAGCGCAGGTCTTAGTTGCATTCAAGTGAAAGTAGTTGCCAGTTGGGAAGAAGTTAACACTGTACAAAGAAGAGCATTGAAAGCGATACGAGTTTAGAGGGGGGAAATGAAACAGCAGAGCTTAGGGTAAAAAAAAGGGGGTCAGGTTTGGGTTAAACCAGCTAGCCAGCCAGGATAACAGAGGGTTCTGTTCAGGCGGCAGGAGGAAGAAATTGGGTTTTGATTTGGTTTGGGGAAGAAGACAAAATAGAGTTTTTGTTACTTATTTCGGCAAGGAAATGGGTCACGTGAGCAATGGAAGAAGGAAGCATTACCAAATACTAATAATAAAAAAAACAAATGACATCATGTCATGAGTTTAGTAGTACTCTTCTCTTCTTCCTAAGCTAAATTGATCAATCTATACTTCTTTGTAATTTGTAGAAAATAGTAATGGACAGTGGTGAAGTTGGATATCCAAAAAGGGGGAGGAGGAGGAGGAGAACTTCTAGTGATTTGAATCACAATGGTCTATGTACGAGTAGTCTTGCTCAATGTACAATGGTCATAAATTTGCTACAAACTATTTATAAATATGTTTTTGATCGCAATTTGAAAGTTCAGGGGGTTATGACTTATGCCCCATCAACGGTTAATGATTGATTACTTCTCTAATTGGAAAATGTAGTGGCGGAGACAAAAATTCGGGAAGGGAAGGAGCGAAAAGAAGAATATGAAGGAATTTGAACCCCCAAACGGTTAAGGTAGGGGGCAAACTCTTACCAACTAGCAACCGAGACATTTTTCAAACTTGTAGCATGTTTTACCTATGTTTTCGATCATAGTTTCGAAGTCGAGAGGTCTATTAACTTCTAAGTCGTGAATGACAACACTAGTATGTAAAAAGATTATTAATTACAAACAACACTTCCTCTTAAATTCTGGTTTTACACACACCTCGGTGTATTAAACAAACCTGACTGATAGATTCTTTTCTTATTAAGGGCGAGATAGATTATTGTTGTCATTAGACCAACCCATGGTTCAAGACGAGGAATAGTACCACTAGACTAGTTCACAACTTTTCTTATAGATTCTTATGATTTTTATAGAATTGATGAAAGCCAAACAAAGAATTTTGTCATATACATTCACTCAATCAATTGGTTAAAGTGTTCATTCTATCAAACCCTAAAACTGTGCATAAAACTCTCGAATAGAATAGAACTATGTACGTCTTTTAATCCAATTATGATCTTTGGTATTTATTTTCAATCCAATTCTACATCAATTTGGCAACTACAACCACCCTAGTTAAAGTTACCATACCTATATGATGTCTTTCAATCTTGTTATGAAAAAAAAATACAAGGAAAGGAACATTGAAAACATGTACTGTGGGCTATATAGTATTGGTGCTATAGATTTTTACCTTTATGGTACAACTTGAAATTGTACCTTTAATGTTATGGTACAACTTCATATTGTACCTATACTTTTTGTACAAATTCTTTTATGGTACAACTTAAACTTGTATTTTATGTGATGGTACAACTTCAAGTTGTAAAGTTGTACCATAACATAATGATACAAATTCATTTATGGTACAACCTAAACTTATACATTTATTGTTATGGTACAACTTCAAATTGTACATTAAAGCACCAATACTATATAACATAGTAGAAGTGCTCGTAGTGTGGGAAGAAACTCTAATCTGCTGCACAAAGATGAGATTGAGAGATAGCTTTATTACCTTATCCTTTCCCTTACATAAGCGCTGCCCAAGGCCCCATCCAACCCTTTTTATGACTTCTTCCATTCTTATGTTGTCCTTCTCCTTCTCTCGTACTTAGTACTCATATCTGCACTCCGCTTTTTTGTACCACCCGTTTTTCCATTCGAAATTCAAACACACCAAACGTTCACTTAGCTTCAAGGTTGTCAAACCGGTTTATGCTAGTGTGCCGGTTTAGCAAGTGGAGTGGTTCGACCGGTGGCACATACCAGTTTGTGCCGGTTCATGCCGGTCAATATTACAAATAAAATTATAAATATTCATATTTAAACATGACATTTAACGTCAATACCTAAACATTTATACTTGAATCCAACAAATAACATCAATATTTAATTTTTATACTCATAAAATAAATAACAAAATAATTTTATCAATTAAATTCACTCTTATTTTACTTAGAAATTCGTACATCAATCATGCCGGTCGTACCGGTGGTGTCACACCGGTTTTATGACCGGTACCGGTTGAACCAGGTACAACCGGTGGCACGCCGGCCGGCATGACAACCATGCTTAGCTTCAATCGTTCTTTTAAAAATAACGAACTGGAGAATCAAACGAGATGCAAGAAGTATCTTTTTTATTTGTAGTATTATAAATGACAATTTGATCTGATTTACTTTAGACATCTGAACAAGGTAATCATGTGTTAGACCAGTATGAAAAGAGCCCACACCCCCAATCTGCAAAAACCTGTTAATTAACCCAAAAGAATGTCTTAAGTTTTGAATACAACCAAACAATATGATGATAACTACCACCTTAAGTACACATATAGCTCTACTAAAAGCGACACTTTATGACCAAATCACATTATGTTGTCGCAACAATTGGAATAATTTAATTCCATGATTGAAGCCTAAAGAATGTTTATGTTAACAAAGCTGGTTTAACCTTTTGTGATAGAAAACTGGATAATAATAAAAATGAAATATATATGTATGTATGTGTGTGTATGTTGGGTGGCGGGCGGGCCAAAAGTTGGTTCCGGTCAAACCTAAACCTTTTGGAAATTGCTGCCTTTTGGATTTGCCTAAATCAAGCCTTAATCCCATTGGGTTAAGGACTAATGGTAGTGGTTAAAAAGTTTGCGCTTAGGGCTTAGGCACATGGGTTAGTTAAAAAAGAGGCCACCTTTGGCGTTTGTTTGCTTGGCATGTCTGCAAATTTTTGTCACTTATAATAAGGACTAATGAAATTTCTAGTCCCCATACAATGTCAATTTAACAAACATGATCTCTGCATACGAACAAGAAAAAGGTTTTTCTGTCAGCTCTGCATACGAACAGCTTACCATTGAGAAATTCCATGGATTCCAGAACTTTGAGGCGTCTTATATTTGGAAGCCCTTCATTCCCAGCAAGATTTGCTTCTTCAAATGGACTCTTTGGCTTAAAAGGATCTCCACTTTAGACGTTGTTAAGAGAAGAGGGA